CAGGCTGGGGGCGAGGGAGGCCGGGGAGCCGGGCCGGCCGGGCCGGGACTTAGAGGAGAGCCGGGGTGCTGGGGGGAGCCCCAAAGGCAGCCCATGGGTAACTGAAGGGACCCCAGATGACAGCTCATGACCAGAGGAACCCTAAATGATAGTTCACGGGTTAGGGGGACCCGATATCATAGCTCACCGGACTGAGAGACCCCGGAGTGATAATCAGGGTATTGAGGACCCCTAAGTGGAGCCCTGGAGTCAGAAAAGCACTATAGGATAATTAGGGATGCTAAGAGACTCCCACAGGAGATCTTAGGTGCCAGTGAGACTCCAAAGGTGGACCAGGGTCCTTGGGAACCCAAAATATTAAATTGGTGAAGCTGAGGGACCTCCAAAGAATAGACTGTAGATCAAAGAGACCCCATAGGGTAACTCTGGGGAGTGGGGAATCCTAAAAGATAGCTCACAGGTCATGGAGACCCCATAAGACAGATTAGGGATGCTGAGAGTCTCCAGAGGATGGATAAGAGGTCAGAGATAACCCCTCCGTAAATTAGGTTATGAGTTCTGAGGGTCCCAAAGCACAGATGACAAGTCAGGGATACCCCATGGGATAGCACAGGGGTACATTAGGGTGCTGGGGAAAACTACACAGAACTGCAGGGAGGAGGAGGACCACAAAGAATAGGTTAGAATGTTGGTCTTCCTAAGTGGAGCTCAGGGGGCCAAGGAGTCTCCGGTGATACTTTTGGAGGTTCACGGATTAGAGAGGCCATCAAATGATACTTCATGGAACTGAGAGACACCAAAGGATAGGTTAGGTGTTGGAGGGACCTAAATGGAGTATGGGTGTCATAAAATTCAGGGGACTTGGGGGCACCAAAGAATATATGAGTGGTTAGGGAGACCCCAACAGATAACTCAGAGTGCTGAGGGACCCTACACAGAAGCCAGGGCTCAAGAGGGTCAAGTGAATGGGTGCAAGGAGGCCCCTGTAGAATAATTTAGCGGACTGAGGGACCCTCACAAAGGATAGATTAGGGTGTAGGAGACCCCATAAGTTGAGCTATGGAGTTAGAGATACCAAAGAATAGATCAAAGTGCTGAGGGAACCCCAAAAAGGAGCCTTGGTGCTATGGGAGACCACAAGCCATAATTGTGGTTAAGGGGAGATCATACAGGTTAGCTAAGGGGGCTGGGGGGACCTCCAGTAGGAGTCACAGAATTAAGGAAAGCCCAGTGGATAGTTGGGGAACCCCAAAGGATAGCCAAGGAACTAGGGAGACCTGAGAGCCTCCAAAAGATAGCTGGCCAAACTAGGGGATACCAAAATGGACACCCCGAGTCAGGGTGGTCCAGAGGGATAGGTAAGGAGTCAAATACAATTTTTAAAACATTTTTATTTTGTTGTTTGTTCATAGGCTAATTGAGAGGCTGGGGAGAATCCAATGAGAGCTCGGAGTTCATGGAGATAACAAAAGAGAGCTCCATGAGCTTGGGATTCCAAAGTGGAGCTCAAGGGGGCAGAAGGGGACACCAAATGATAACTTGGGGGACTAGGGAACTCCAAAGAATAGGTTGAAGTGTAGGGAGACCCGAAAGGGGAGCCTGGGGAGGTAAGTCCTCCAAAGGGGGACTTAAGACCAGAGAGATTCCAAAGGTTAGCTCATGGGGGCATTGTGGGGCCCCAGAGGGATTCCCCAGTGGGTTAGGGATCCCATAAGAAGGAGACTCTAAACAGTAGTTCAGGGGTCTGGGAAACCTGAAAGAAGAACCCAGAAGCCAGGTTTCCCCACACCTGAAACAGCTCAGCAAGCCAGGGCACCCAGAAAAAGAATTCAGGGTGCTGGGGAGTATGAAGGGGAGCTTGAGTCCTGGGAGGCTTAAAAAGTAGTCTGGTGGTATGGGGACTTTGACATAGGAGCCTGGGGTCAGGGAGCCACAGACAATAGCTCTGGATACAGGGGGCTCTGTAGAGTGTTAAAGACCCAGAAACAAGACTGAAGGATTGGGGGACACCAGAGGGAAGCTTTTAGAGCTGTGGGACCTGGTATGGAAGTCAGGGAGATCACAAAGTAGTTCGAGGACCAGGGAGCCCTAGGTAGGGACTTTAGTGGACTCAATGATTTGAGTCGGAGCTTGAGGGGTCATGACAAACCTGAAATTCTAAAGGGAACCGGTCTGAGAGCCTGGGGTTCCTCAGGACCCTGATTAGGACATACTGGGTCTCCCCATTAAGCCTTAAATGCTGCTCCCTAACTGCTTTGTGAATTTTCTGGCCCAAGGGTCTCTTGAATGGCATCCTGAGGTTCCCCCTGCAGGTACAGGAACTTGTTTGATTGGTGCACATGGCCAGGCCTCATGTGGGTTCACTTTTCTACCTATAGCTTGTGTCAACCTGGGTAGGGAGACAGTGAGACTCTTACATTGTACTTTGGGATATTCTGGTTGCTTCAGTCTGCCTCCATAGGAAGAGTCTGGCTGCCTTCAGGCAGGATTCCTGGTGTGGTGGGTGAACTGCCTAATTCCCTTGGTGTTGAGTGTGCCTGGCACAGAGGACCTGGATGTAGTGGGAAGGGGTGTGCTTCCTGTGGATTTGTCCTGGGATCAGAGCACCTTGCTGAAGGAAGAGGGCTGCCAGACAGGAACTTGAGGACTTAGCTGGTGCCTGTGCAGCTGGTAGGTCTTTGGCATTCATTCCCATTGGGGTCTGAAGGGCCACTGTGGGCCTGGAGGCAGGTCAGAAGTTGCTGGCTGCATCAAGTGTTGCAGCCCTTCCCTGGGACAACATAGGTCTCCAGGACATTGAGTCTCCACACCTTGCTGCACCACTGCAGCCTCACAGACTCACTGGGCAGTATGGCAATAGGAGCCAGTGTCTAGACTGGACGAGCCTGGGACTGTGTTCTGTGAGTCCCCAGAAAGCTATCCAAAGGGCGAGTTTTATGGTTTGGTTTTGAAACAGGGTCTCACTGTGTAGCTCTGGCTGTTCTGGAATGCACTATGGCCAGAGATAGACCTGCCTCTGCTTCCTGAGTGCCCAGGATTAAGTGCCCTGCTACACCCAACCTTTGTATACAAAAGTTTTTTAAATTGTTTGTTTTTAGTGCTGGAGACCTACCCTAGGGCCTGGCTCTGTGAAGAGCCAGATGCTACAGTTGCAAATCACAGAGTCTCCAAGTGTAGCATTTGGTTTCTGAGAAAGCATAGCAGCTGTGATTAACAGTGGGCCACCCGGGTCCCTGTAAGAGCTCTTGCTTTTGGAGCTGTTTGAGATGCATGCTGGGTCCTCCTGCCATTTCCTCTATAGACCGCTGCCCTGGGTTCATTGCCCTTGTTCAGCCCAGATAGGTAGTCACCTGTAGTGGACAGCCGACTGTGTTACATCTGGTGGGACCTCCGCCCTCATGCATGTATTGGCTGGGGGGTTCCAGGTCATGGCAAGAACTACCCATTCTTTCTTGAGGCCTCTGCTGCCTAGAGCTTGTGATGTGACTGACTGTCCTGTCCCCAGGAGGTGGATGGAAAGTAGATAGTGGCTTCCTTTTAGGGTAGCTTCTGAGCCATTTCTTGGAAATATAGCAAAGGGACCATCCTTAGGGTCATCTTAAAGTTGGGCTTGTCTTGGGTTTTTTTCTGGTACAGACCGGTGGTACAGTCTGCCTGCCTGCCTGTCTCCTGAGTTCTGGGATTAAAGGTGTGTGCCACCATGCCTGAATCTGGATTTATTTATTTATTTATTTATTTATTTATTATTTAATTTATTCATTCCCGGGACAGGGTTTCTCTGTGTAGCCCTGATTGGACAATGGGAGTTCTGTAGACCAGGCTGGCCTCAAACTCACAGAGCTCCTCCTGTCTCTGCCTCCTGAGTGAGTGTTGTGATTGAAGGCTTGCACCATCACCCCTACCCCAGCCTATCTTTCTTTTAAATTTGTGTGTGTGCATGTACGCACTTTGTAGGTTGTCAGGCTTGGCGGCAGGTGCCTTGCTGAGACTTCCATTGGCCTGGAGGGCTGGAGTCTCTGAAGGGAGTATAGAAGTGGGTACCGCACTCTGAGTCTGGTTTTCTGTATTGTGTTAAGTCAGCCCACGCAGGAGGGTCACATGTGGCCTGCTTGCAAGAGTTATCACAAGTGGACCGGTGCACAGTCTGTGCCCTGAGTGTTGGGCTCAGGCCCATGTTAGACAGAGGCTTCTGCAGTCATTTCCCTTGGATGGACCAGGTCACTCTACCCTTCAATGTCCACAGTGACCTGTGGGACAGGGTGGTGGGGAAGATGTGACAGCTGGTGTGTACTGACTACTGTCAGCATCACCTGCAGAGGGAAAGGCAGGCACACCTGGCATCCTGGAGGAGGGGCCTGGTTGTCTGGGGCTTGTGTAGGCTGGACTCTGTATGTGGATGCTGCGCATCTCAGATTGGGTTGAGCACCTTCTTGCTGCATGACTGGCAGGTGAATGCAGTGGCAGGCCTGTTGGAGGGAGGGCCAAGCTCATTCATGTCCTAGCCAATCTAGAGGTCCCATTGCTCAGTATCCCTGACCTGGGGAACCTGCTTCGTGGCCCTGAGCCCTGGAGGACCCTCAGACCTCAACCAGGACATTGTGCTGTAGACCAGCTGCAGTTGTTCCTTCTGTGACAGTTCATTGGAGGGTTTGGAAGAGGCAGGGAACCTGCTGGGGGCTCTATCCATCTTGGAGTACTCAGTAAATATAAATGTCCCCTTAGCCCTGGGGGAGCTTCTGGGGGTGGTTTTCTGTGGGGGTGTCCTGGGCCTGCATGGTATTGCTCACTGAGCAATGGTCCAAGGTTCCCTAGGTTCAGAAGAGGCTGGCTGTCATGAGAGCAACAGTTGGAGGGCTCTGTTGTCACTTCATTTGCAAGCTATGACCGGGCTGCCTCTGTCCAGGACCTTTGCTCCCTGGCCACAGTCCAAGGGCTGCAAGTTTTGTGTTGTGTGTGCCTGCTGTGAGCCTGACGGTGCATTTTTGGTTTGGTTTTGGTTTTTTGAGACACGGTTTGTCTGTGTAGCCCTGGCTGTCCTGGAACTCATTCTGTAGACCTCAAACTCACAGAGATCCGCCTACCTCTGCTTCCTGAGTGCTGGGATTAAAGGCGTGTGCCACCACCGCCCGGCTGTGGGTTTGAATTGGCTCCCCAAAAGCTCTTGAGGAGTCCCTTCCAGAGACACTGAGTCTCAAGGTCACAAGCTTGATTGGCTTTGGGGAAGGGATGGGATGAGCAGGAGGCCATGTCAGCATATGGGTGTCTGTTAGACTACTGTTTTCAAGGGCTTCCATTGTAGGGATTGGGGGTGTGGCTTGGGCCATGAGACAAGTGTAAAGTGCATGTACCCTGAGCACCCTCTGGGAGGTTATTAGAGATGAGGCCCCTTTAGTCACGTTCTCATGTCACTTCTTTGTGTGGAGGTCATAGGCTTGTGCATCACGTGTCCTTGTAGGTGAGCTGGGGGCCAGCCTGGGGTTGGGCAGCAGGGGCTCTGCCTGACAGTGCACTGACTTGCAGGGTGCAGGGTTCACCTGCTCCCGCTGGAGGCGCCTTAATCAATATTGCAGTCACCCACAGCATACCTGGCAGAGAGAGCAGAGTGCGGCTTTGTTGGCCCTTAATCTTAATCTGCAGGTTGGCTTCGCCTTTCCTCCACACCCAGCCTGGGTCCTAGGGGCTGCCATCCTGGGGCTCCGGGTGCTGGTCAACAGGCCCTCCTAGGCTCTGGCTTTCCTTCCTTTCTCTTCCTTATTGATTGACTACTGCTCCCCACCCCAGGCTTAGAGATTGGGTCCAGCCACAAAGGAAGTGAAATCCACATCCTGGAGCCTTCCAGAACCTTTGTGAGCATGGGCCTGCCTCACCTGATGGACTCTTGTGAGCCAGGCATAAGCCTTTGTGCACAGGCCAGGAGTGCTGCTTCCCTCAGACATGGCCACCAGCACACGGCCCCTCCCTCGGGGACACCTGAGCCTTTGGCACTGCAGGGTGTAGATGGGCTCTGCTGCCTGAAGCCAGGGTGAGAGTGATGAGATGGGGACCTCATCCCCCACTGCATTTCACCCGTGCTGGTGACCTGACTGCCCCCACCCCCCCAAACACACACTTCTCTGCCTTTAATCCCAGCACCCAGGAGGCAGAGGCAGGGGGATCTACAGAGTGAGTTCCAGGACAGCCCAGGCTACACAGAGAAAACCCGTGTGTGTGTGTGTGTGTCGGGGGGGGGGGGGGGGTGCTAATCCTTATCTAGATCTCAATTTCTGATCTTCTGCCACAGCCTCCTGTGCTGGGCTTACATACATGTGCCACCATGCCTGGCACTTTCCCAATACCTGTGTCGAAACTGCACTGGGTTGGGGTGAGGGGGAAGGCACGTACCCGCCTGACCGGTTCCTCTTCCTTGCCCAATGGCCTGCCTCGTTATGGAGCCCTGCTGGCAGTGGTTGGTATTGTCAGAGAGCCGAGCTTGTTCTGTTTTGGTTTCAGTGGGCAAGCCTTGCCCTTCCCAGGCTGCGGCCTGAGGAGACAGGTGGCTTTAGGTTGGTGAGGCTGGGCCCTGAGCCACCTGCATGATTGCCCAGCTGATCCCTCACACAGAGTTGATTCCAGGAGGGCAGTGGACTAGCAACTTTGCTCTTAGTCTTGCCCAGCAGGACAGGCAGGGCCCTCTTCTACACTAAGTGAGGGACCTCTGTGGTCACCCATGCTTTGCCATGGGCAGGAGGGGCTCTGCCTGAGCCCCTTCTACCAGAAGCCTGCAGGATGCCCATAAGTTCTTCTGCTGTGGAGATTTGCTGTGAAGGATGCTTGGGCCACTTGAGGGTTCTCATGTCTCTGGTTTCTAGCCCAGCATGGTGTAGTTGACTGCCCACAGGGGTGGGGGGCAGGGTATCTGGCTCTGGTGTTTCCTGCAAGGTGAGCAGAATTCTTAGGTCTGGGGCGTGATGGTGGTGCTGATTTTGTGAACCTTTCTGGCTCAGGGACTTGCCCCTAGTGTCCTGCCTAGAGTCAGCAAGCAGAGCTACAGCAGGGCAGACTCTGCTGTCCCCTGGGCCATACCTTGTGCCCCAGAGCTGGGGAGGGATTAAGTGACTCCTGAGACCCGAGGGCCACCTGATAAGAACTGCTTTTCTTCACTCTGGCTGCAGCTGGCATGTCAGGGGCCACTGCTGAGGGTTTGTCACCTACTGTTGTCCAGCCACTTCATGAGGCCGTGTCCCAACCTCAGTCTTTCTCTTGTTGGCTAAACATCTTTTGGGCTTCTGCTGCAGCTTCTCTTCCTGATGGTGAAGTGTCTGTGGGCACTGGCCTGTCACACTGGTTCTTTTCCTGGCAGTGTCCCTCTGACAGGGCCATCTTTTGCAGCAAGGTTATTTCTCGTGTCTGCCGTAGTATGGATCCAGAAGTCCTTTGCTGAGAGCTCTGTGCCCCGCAGGTTGACTGAGCACAGCCCTCTGCCTGTGTGCCTGGTGTGGGTGGGACGCCCCAAAGGCATCAGCTGACCTGAGCCTCCTCTCTCTGCAGGAAGCTCTTCGTGGGTGGCCTGGACTGGAGCACCACTCAAGGTAGGAGCTGTGGCGTCCCAGACATGGGCAGGCTCAGCCCTGGTACCTGTGTCCCTCAGCAGAGCTTGCTGTAAAGTCGACATGGCTGCATGCTGGTGCCCTGCTTCTCCAGCCCTCCCCTCCCCTCCCTTCCCCTCCCTTCCCCTTCCTTCCCCTCCCCTCCTGTGCCCTGCAGTTAGTCCACCCCCTTCCAGAACAAAGGCAGGGTGGCCCAGCTTCTCCTGTGCCCTCTCCCCCAGCATTGAGCTTGGGTGAGGCGGGGGCACTGCACAGGCATGTTTGTGTGTACCTGCTGTTATGTTCATATGTGCTGAGGCCATGCCTAAGCCAGGGACATGTGTGCTTTTGTTCCCGCCTCTGAGCAGAGACTCTGCGCAGCTACTTTTCCCAGTATGGCGAAGTTGTGGATTGTGTCATCATGAAAGATAAAACCACCAACCAGTCCCGAGGCTTTGGGTTTGTCAAATTTAAAGACCCCAATTGTGTGGGGACCGTGCTGGCCAGCAGACCACACACCCTGGATGGCCGGAATGTAAGTGGACTCTTTCATGGACTCTTCCCCATTTCCACCCCCTCATCTGAACTAGCTGGTGTAGGGTTCAGGCTGCTAGAGATGCAGTGTATTAGAGGGTGGAGCCTGGAGGTGACAAGCCCTGGGGTGTGGTGGGTGTTTGCAGCAGTGTCCCATGCAGAGCAGTGGCTTCTTGCTCACCTCTCTGGCTTGATGTTTCCTACAGATTGACCCGAAGCCATGCACACCTCGAGGGATGCAGCCAGAGAGAACTCGGCCCAAAGAAGGCTGGGTAAGGCTGGGCTGGACTGGGTGCTTTGGTCCTGTTGGATGGTGGTGGGTGGTCACCATTACCCCCACTCTGCTCATTCCAGGGGATGCTGGAGCAATTGAATGCCAAGCACCTTCATCTTGGGCTGGGTGCAGAGTCCTGTCAGGGGGGCGGGGCAGCTCACACCCTTATAACAGAGCAGGGGCCCGCTGCCGGTGCTTACTTGGCTCCACTGTTCAGCATTCCTTCCTGACAGCAGACTGCCTTCACTTCCACATGGGCTGCTGAGCAGGCAGGGGTGGTGACTTTTGGAATCTGTGGCACGCGGGGCTTTTGCAAGTGGCTCATCTGTTTGGTGAGATGGTCTTAGCCTGTCAAGTGCTGGGATTTAAAATGTGAGCTGCCAATCTCAAATTACTTGCCAAATTATTTATTTTTGAGACAGGGTTTCTCTGTGTAGCTTTGTAGACCACACTGGCCTTGAACTCACAGAGATCTGCCTGCCTCTGCCTCCTGAATGCTGGGATTAAAGGAGTGCACCACCATTGCCCGGCTTATTTGTATTTCTTTGTAATGACTTTTGTTTTGGTTTTTTGAGACAGGGTTTCTCTGTAGCTTTGGAGGCTGTCCTGGAACTTGCTCTTGTCGACCAGGCTGGCCTCGAACTCACAGAGATCCACTTGCCTTTGCCTCCCGAGTGCTGGGATTAAAGGTGTGCGCCACCAACACATGGCTGTAATGACTTTTTATTTTATGTGCATTGGTATTTTGCCTGCATGTATGTCTGTGTGAAGGTGTCAGGTCCCCTGGAACTGGAGTTACAGACAATTGTGAACTGCCATGTGGGTCCTGGGAATTGAACCTCGGTCCTCTCTAGCTCCTTATTTGTAATTTTTGTGCATGGGTGTTTTCTTTGCATGTATGTCTGTACTCTGCTTGAGTGCCTGGTGCCCAAGGAGGCCAGAGGGTGTCAGATTCCCTAGAACTAGAGTCACCATGTAGGTGCTCGGGATCAAACCCAGGGCCTCTGGAAGAGCAGTCAATGCTCTTAACCACTGAGCCATTTCTCCCCCCTTTTTTTTTTTTTTTTTTTTTGTATTTACATTATTCAACGTTATTTTATGTGCATTGGTGTAAGGATACCAGATCCCCTGGAACTGGAGCTACAGACAGGTGTGAGCTGCCTTGTGGGTGCTGAGACTAGAACCTGGGTCCTCTGGAAGAGCAGCCACCGCTCTTAACCACTGAATCATCTCTCCATCCCCCTCTAGCCCTTTTCTTATTGAGGCATTCTCTGATGGTTGGCCTTCTGGGCCCAGGCCTAGCAAGTTTGACTGTTGACAGCCCCTCCTCTTTTTTTTTTTTTTTTTTGGTTTTTCGAGCATGGTTTCCCTGGGGCTTTGGGGGCTGTCCTGGAACTAGCTCTTGTAGACCAGGCTGGCCTTGAACTCACAGAGATCTGCCTGCCTCTGCCTCCCGAGTGCTGGGATTAAAGGGGTGTGCCACCACCGCTCACCTCTCTTTTTCTTTTAAGAAAGCCATTTCCCAAAAAAAAGTGTAAGCCTAGCACAGTGCTGTGCATGCTGCCTTGTATCTGGGCTACAGCTCTTCTCAGAGTCCTCAGCAGGGGTGTTCCTGCTGTGGACACCATGGGACTGTCTGGCTCTGGCTTCTGGGATTCTGTCCTGGAGGTTGCACTGCGACTCCTCACTGAGGTCCAGCCTGGTGTGACACACTGTACACATGAGCTCCTTATCTGGGTTAGCCCACTGTCATTAGCACAGTGGTGTGCTCCCCTGAAGTTCAGTCTATCGTGTAGCCTAGGCTGGCCTGGAACCCAGGATCCTCCTGCTTTGGCTTCCAAATGCTGGGCTGACAGGCCTGTGTACCCACAGCCAGCTCAGTTTAGTCTCTTAACTCAACTTGGTTAGAACCATGGGGACTGTGCAGTCTTCACACATAGTGCCATGGGGACTGTGTGGTCCTCACACCTGGGGCCATTAAGTGGGGGGGTCCCTTATGTCTTCTGTGGCTGCTCCAAGCTTTCCTAAATCCATGTATCCTCAGGTCTTACTGCTAGCTGGTAGCCCTGAGACTGCCTTTGCAGATTTTAGCTTTGCCCAAATCCTCACCTGTCCTGGGAATGTTGGTTATTGGTATTTACTTCTAGCATGTAGAAGGCCCCAGGACTGTCCCAAGCACAGGAATAAAAAAGGAAAGCCAGTGGCTGGATGGTGGTGGCGCACGCCTTTAATCCCAGCACCCGGGAGGCAGAGGCAGGCGGATCTCTGAGTTTGAGACCAGCCTGGTCTACAGAGTAAGTTCCAGGACAGCCAGGGCTTCACAGAGAAACCCTGTCAGATACCCCCACCCCAACCTGTTTCCACATTGCAGATTGTTTCTCTCTCTCTCTCTCTCTCTCTCTCTCTCTCTCTCTCTCTCTCTCCTTTTTTGGGGGAGGGTTGTTTGAGACAGGGTTTCTCTGTGGCTTTGGAGCCTGTCCTGGACCTCGCTCTGTAGACCGGATTAGCAGATTGGCCTCTCACAGAGATCCACCTGCCTCTGCCTCCCAAACTCTGGGCTTAAAGGCATGCGCCACCACCACCTGGCTAAAGAAATTTTCCTTCCTCCATTCTTCCCTCCCTCTCTCTTTTTTGAGACAGGGTTTCTCTGTGTAGCCCTGGCTGTTTTGTAACTCTTTGTAGACCAGGCTGGTCTCAAACTCACAGAGATCCCCTGCTTCTATGTACCCTCCTCCCCCATGTGCATGCCACAGTGTGTATGTAGATGTCAGAAGACAGATTGGGGTTGTTTCTCTCCTTTCACTCTTGTGCTCCAAGGCAGAATGTGGTGTCCCCAGAGCAGTGGTGTAATTTGGGTGTGTGCTCTGGCTTTACCTGAATCAGAAGCCATGTGAGCTGGAGTGGCTGTAGGTGGGGATGGGAGGTACACACCTTTTCTCCTAATATATGGAAGGCAGAGGTGGTCGATCTCTTGACTTTAAGGTCAGCCTGGTCTAGTTTCAGGCAGACCAGGACTGCTGTACAAGGGGCTGGGTTAATAGTATTCATCTGGTTGTAGCATTGGAGAGCCCAAGGCAGCAGGCCTGCCATGATAAGTTGAAGGCCATCCTGGACTACATAGTGAGACTGTCTGAAGAACTGCAAAGCTATGGGAAGGGATGTGTGGTAGCTGGCTTGTTGGGGAATAGGCCACCAAAAGTCATTGACACCTCCTCCTTGACAGCAGAAAGGACCCAGGAGCGACAGCAGCAAATCCAACAAGATCTTTGTGGGGGGCATTCCCCACAACTGCGGCGAGACGGAGCTCAGGGAGTACTTCAAGAAGTTCGGAGTGGTGAGCTCTTTGCGCCTCTGTGGCCATTCCTGGGCCCACCCCCTGCCATGCCCTCACACCTGCTTCCCACCAGTGTACGCTGGGCTTTGGTGAGGGCAGGCCAGTGGACAGTGAGGAGCCCGCCTTTGGGAGTGCAGGCCAGTGGACAGTGAGGAGCCCGCCTTTGGGAGTGCAGGCCAGTGGACAGTGAGGAGCCCGCCTTTGGGAGTGCAGGCCAGTGGACAGTGAGGAGCCCGCCTTTGGGAGTGCAGGCCAGTGGACAGTGAGGAGCTAGCCATGGCTGGGAGGCATGCTGCCTTATGGTGGCCAGGCAGCTGGCCCTAGTGAGACCAGGTCCCCTGAACCCTGTGCTGCCTGGACATCTGGGCTTATGCCCACATAGGGTTCTGCTGTGGGAGTCACTGAGATGTTTATACTATCTGACCTGAAACTCCCAGAGACTAGAGCTCCTTGTGTGGCTTTTTCTCTGGAACAGACTATAGCCCTTTGCTCACTGTGGATTTTTGAGCTGCTGTGTGGGGCAAACAAGACAGGAGTGGCCTGAACTGCTAGGCATTGCACTGGAATGTGATCAGGCTTGACAGCGTCCTGGTGACCCTGAGGATGCTCACTATTCTGGGGTGGTGTGTGTCCATCAGGCACGGCAGAGCACAGGTCCAGGGAAGACTGCCTGGCATCTTCCAGACCTCATCCTTCCTGGGATATGCAGCCAGGATCACAGTTGCCTCTGGTGCCCTGGGACCTCCTGGAACTGGGGCTGAGTGGCTTTGTGGTGCCTACCTCATCCGCCCTTTGTCCACAGGTCACCGAGGTGGTCATGATCTATGATGCAGAGAAGCAGCGGCCTCGAGGTAAGGACTGAACCCGTTCATCCTGACCCATGCCCTCCCCTCAGATGGCAAACTATCTCGCCCTAGACAGGCCAGGGTTGGATGCTGCACAGCCAGTGCCATTGGGCCACATGCCAAGACACAGACTCCATGCCTCCCACTTATGTCATGCATTGTCCCATCTCCCTGTGGGATGTTTTAGCCACCTCTCATGAGCATCAGTACATCTTCTGTTTGTAAAGGTTTTCAGAGCACAGGCTTGTCAGCATCACTTGAGCTGCCCGGGTCTGTGGGAGACCACTGCCTGGCTGCAGCCACGCCCTGGACTCATTCCCCTTGCTGCCTGCACTCACTCCACGCTGGTCAGGGAGCAGGTAGCACCCTCGCTCTCCAACCTTTTGTTTTGGTGGCTTTTGTCACTCACATGTTTGGTTCAGTGTCCACTTTGGGCCATAGTGCTCCACACTGCAGGGCCTTCACTCACACTGTATGTCCCTCGGCCCTCACAGCCTTCATCCACACGTCACCCCTCAGCAAAGGCCCTTCACAGGTGCCCGTGCTGCGCCACCACTCAGGAGCATAGTTTGCCATTTGAGCCTCCTCCACTCGTCCAGGACGCACTGCTCACTCGTGTGGTTTAGCTGTTAAGTCTTAGTCTTAATTTATGGTAGACATACATGCTTAATGACGTACGTAGTGTCATAGAATACGGTACCGTTAAGTAAGCTGTCTCCTCTCTCTGTGATTGTCTGTGATTAACGATGTCTCTCTAGATCTCTCTCCAGGTGCTAAGTTAAGTCACACAGGTACAGGCCCGCCCGCAGTCAGAGGACGGAGCGGCTTTGCTCCCGTGGGGTGTAAACGAAGTTTCAGTGTGTTTGTCCCGCTGCTGCCTCTGACACAGCGTTGTAGACAGCCTGTCCCGGCTCCTCCCCCACGACCCACGGCCTCTTGCACTGTGCCTGGACCCAGCCAGCCCGGTGGCTTCAGACACTCCCGCCCGCCGTTTGAGAGAATGTCAACTTTTCACATGTCTTCATCACTATGTTGTGTTCCAAATGCCGCCTCTGACTTTGCGAAGCCTCGGTGTGCGGGACTCTGAGGGCAGCTTCCTAGGTGCTCCCACCCACGGCTGGCACAGCTGCCGCCGTCCTCCTGCCGCCCTCACCTGGCCCAGCCAGACCCAGCTAGTGTTGTTGGCCTGTGCTGGAGGGGCAGCAGGAGCTGGGCCAAGAGCTTTGGGGCTGGCATGTGGGCCTGTGTCCCCTGGGGGCTTGGAAGTGTCCCAGTGGGTGGCAGATAGCAGTGGTTGGGTCAGCAGGGCCCCTACAGCACCTCTTGTCTTCTTGGCTTTGCTGGCTCCTCAAGGGTCTTGGTGGGTCTCAGTGTTCCTTCTCCTTCCAGCTCTGTGTCTGCTGACTTCAGATAGCAGGCCATCTTGTCCCTGCAGACCTCTTGGTCCCCAGGCATCCTGTCTGCAGTCCCCTTTACTTTCCTGTCCTCTTACTGGTCTCGTCTCTTCAGCCTCCAGCTCCCCTCGACTTCACCTTTAATGTTCCATCTGGCTTCTCGTGCCCTGACACCATCTGCATAGGACAGCAAGAGCCCCTGCCCTCCTCTCCCGTCTCAGCTCTGGTCCCTCAACCGCCTTTTCTTCCCGCTTCCATCTCTTCCTCCCACATCCTCATAGGGTTACTTTCCTGACTCAGCTGCAGTATCACACACATCACCTGTGCCCCTTCCCACTCCCTGTCAGTACCCAGAGGACCCTGGCCACTTTCCTTTCTGCTCTCCTGTGAAGTTCTCTCGGAGCCCTTGGCACTTCTGTCTTGAGCCTCCTTCACCCTTTGTTCCCTGAGGTCTCTGGGCCTGAGCGCTGCAGGAGATGCTAGCGCCAAAGGCCCTGTCCTTCCTGCCCTTAGCCGGGTGGCCGCGCTTACCCCAGACCAACCAAACTTCGTTTATACTGCCACTTTCTTGTGTTTGGGAAATGCTAAATTTTTTTTCCTTTGAAATTTTTTTCTTTTTCTTTTTTCTTTTTTCCTTTTTTTTCTTTTTTTTTTTTCTTTTTGTTTTTAAATGACACCATGCCTCTTGCTGTTGCTGCTGACAGCAGAATTTGACCTGCTGGAACCCGTTGTGGCCTGTATCTTTGTGTATTACCTGTATTTACCTATATCGTATGTGCATAGAGGAGTAGGACTGTTAGATATAGGACTCCTCGGCTTAGCCAACAGTGTTGGGTAAGCCTGGTGAGGCACGATAGGAACTGCACTCGGTACCGCCTAGAACAGCGGGGGCTGCTGTGAGCACTAGCTGCGAAGCCAATTGCAAACCCCGGGGGAGAAGCTGGGTTTCAGAAAAGCCAGAGCACACCAC